CAACTTTGGTAGAGTACCTATAGATAATAACACATACCAAATATCAAACCTCTAAGCCTGGTACCTTCAGACAAGAAGGTATTTTAAGTTTTTACTATATGTACAAATAGTGAAAAATCAATGACCCCGGGCGGGGCCGATTTGGACCCCAGGGCTATAATTTGAACAATCTTGGTAGAGGTCTACCAGACAATGCCTTATGCAAAATATCTAAGCTCTAGGCCTTTTGGGTCTTTACAAGAAGATTTTTTTAATTTATTCTTATAATTCCTTTTGGTTGCCATGGCAACCAGAATTCTGCATGGAATAAAATTCTTTGAACAACTTTGGAAGGCCTTCACCCAAGGATCAATCCTGCCAAGTTTGGTTGAAATTGGACAAGTGTATTTTCACAAGAAGATTTTTTAAGTTCACTATATAATCTATATAACACACACACACACAAACAAACACACACACAGGTGAATCGCTATATGCCACCGCATCGCAGATGCTGCGGTGGCATAAAAAAAGATTTACTTTGTTGAGTGGGAAAATGGACACCAAATTCTAAGCTAGTGTTTATAAAGTTAGCATTTCAGAGTGCCTGTATTGATTGGTTGACATTTTCAAAACTTCTCAAGAATTGACATTTATCTGTGCTGGAGCTTAAAACATGTGGTTTGGTTCTTATTTTAAAGAAAGTTTCGTATCATTATCTTAACTTACCAGTATTAAATGATTAAAAAATTTTGTTTGTAAATATTTTTTCTCATTTAAAATAACAGCATATCTTTATTTTTCTTGATAACAAAAATGTTTAATTCAACACTCATTCAAAAAGATGTGGTTTAACAAAATTTAAAAGGTCAATGTAAAAATACATTTTAATCAATATTCTTTTAAAATAACACACCGCAAAAATATATAAATCAAAGGACAAAACCACATTTAATGATCAATTTTTATACCTTTGCCTTTTAATTAAATATATTTTTATTCTGTATCTTACCTTAATTGATAAACTTGTAAATTCCTGATCCTACTGTATAAAAACCTTCTTACAATGTTTCTATAATGTATGTGTAAATAGCAAAAAGATGCAGATTTAATATCCAAACTTGTTTAATTTGTAAACAAGCCAATTAAGGATCACAAAAAGAAAATCTACTTTTACAGAGTTCAAATACCTTCATAAAGTAATGATGTTTAAACAAGGTTGAACTTTATTTACTTTATTTAGCCAGGGATGTTTAATGGTAAATCTTGGACGATTCCCAAATATAACAATCAATTTTCTAATAGAAATACAATCAAAAGCTACACGATTATAAAATTCCTGACAGTGTTGAAATGCTTTTCGATAACTCAGAAATGAACCATCAATTATGCCTTAATTCTTTATGATATTTAAGAAATTTTCTTTCACAAACATGTCTAATTGTCTTTATGAAAAAATAACCTAATTTCAACAATAAAATAAGCAGTGTGTCTATATTGAAAATTTAGTTTTAGTACAAATTAGTAATTATAAGACAAAATTTAAGTAGCAAAAAATCTTTACAGTTTACTAAGAAGTAAAGTAAAGCAGTCACAAGTGATGACTTTTTGAATAAGTTAAGGAGTTTTATATGAATTTTTACTTATATTACATACAGACCTATAATTAACAAGAAATAACTGGAGAAGGAACTTACAAATCTGAGTTGAATTCCTCCTGATACATCTCTCCATGTCTGATCAGAAAAGACACAACATTGACCAGACATTGTGTTTATATGTGGGGGAAGAACTGTAATCAGATTTTCTCCTTATTTGGAGTTTGAGACAGGTCTAATGAATATATATTTATATATATTAATTAATCAATTGCCCTTTATAGAAGGGTACTATGTTACTGCATATGATATATAGCTGTCATTACCAGTCTTGATCTGATACAGTTCTGTCAGTACCAGTTATACAATGACAAAACAACAAGGATTTCTATACAGACAAATGTCACTACAGACACTAAGTTGATAATACATAAAGTACATTCTTCACCGACTTATCATCTAATGTTGTTATTGAGATCCATCTACTGGTACACAAGAATTTAACCTATTTCTCCTTGCTTAAAATTGTTACCCTGAATTGAAATTGAAACTGCCCAAAAATAATTGAAATATTATGCTGCTTACCAGAATCCAGTTAGACTTAATACAAGTACCCTTAACTAAATAAATAATAATAAATTTAGAGCTCTGATCCTGTATTGAAATTGAAACTGCCCATTAAAATTGAAATATTATGTTTCTAAAACAATCAAGTTGGCCTTAACAGAAATAGACCAGTCTGGTTCCATACTGATGGTATAAACAAGCCATTACTGTTGTCAACAACAAATAGTCAATAGTCAACATGTTCCATATAAATCAAAACATTTTATAAGTTATTCTTATTAATATGTACAAATTTAAAAACAAAAGAAAATACAAGTCATGTATATAGTTTAAGAGTCAGCATTTCACAATTAATTTGTATATTATATTACATGTAGCAAAATCTTCACCTGCATTAAAACTTTAAAACACTTATGTCTAGCATTTTGACTTAATTATTATATATCATACAATAACATTGTAAAGTTTGTGAACAACACATAGCATTATTCTATCACTCTCGTTCTTTCAAAAAAGTCATTAAGAATTACAAACAAACTTAAAACAACATATCGAAATTACCAGAATACCATGAGAAAAGCAAAGACCTACATACAGAATCTTATTTTGGAATCATTTCTATATTCAGAATCATAATTCATAATATACAACAGTATTTTCATAATAACATTAAACAAACTTTTAAAACACCATCTTTTAACAGATCAATAAATAAAATCCTGATGAAAAAATTAATTAGAAATATAATTCCTATTGCAAACTCTTATGCTATTAAACTACAGTATCACATAGCCTTGTGGATGCAAAGCAAATCAAAGATTTAATTGGGTTTCTATTAATAGTAAAATTATGACGAAGAAATAAATGCGTGTAAAGATTCCCCTCCCCCCCCCCCCCACCATCCTCAGAGCAGTGCATGTTGGTGTTGAAGAGACATGTCACACTTTTCCTTGTTCCTGCAGAAATTCATCTACACCAATACTCTGTGCAAATTTTCCACTTTTCTACACTCCAGCTTTAAAACAGCTACAAAAAGGTCAACAACAATCAAATAAAGCCACAGGACACTTAAAACAATTAATTATCAAGGGAGTGGAACTTTGGAACATTTTTTTTTTAATGTGATACGAAAGTGTCAATGACTCTCAAAAATACAAAGAAAAATTATAAATGTTCATGAAAGAAATGCATGTAGGCACGGATTATAAACTTCCTGATCATACAAAAGTTAAATGGTTTTCAGATCTGCAACAAATTTCTAGGTTTTTCTTGTTTTTTATTACCACCTTCTACTTAAATGGTTTCTCACTGACAGGAGATGAAACAGAAGCTTATCATTTCATTGAAAAAACTGAAAATTTCAGTAATGATTTGTAGTGGAAACTCAAATTTACAACAATTACTTACATATAACTGTACATCTTCAAAGAAGTCAATGTGTTTTAAAGCATTCTAGGTTTCACCGCCTTAACTTTGAAATATAGAACACCACATATGGGAAAATATTCTCTGTCACAATATTTAGCAACTGGAGCTAAAATCATTTATGTTTGATGTGTTATGTTTTGGTAACTATCTTACATATATTTCTGATGTTTTTTTTCCAGTAATGGTAGATAGATTCTAGTTACCATCATCAAACATCAAAATATAGGTGTGACCGTGTCCCCTGCATGCATCAACTTTGTCTTTGTTCCTTAACATGAAAAAATATAACATTTTGGCACATAATCATGTGACACACACCTGCTCAGAAACACGCCTGTGTTTGCAGTAGAACACAAATTTTTTATTTTGTCAAATTCATACAGAAAAATATTTTAACTGGACATATCTCTGTAGAAAAGTTGTCCTTGACCTCAATCAAGTGACATCCTAGTATATATATCATGTTTATGTTTCAATGCTGGGGCCAACCTAATTTGGAAAATAATTATAGAATCCATGGAAGCCAAAAGGTGTCACTTTTGCAAATACATTTTAGTAAATTATAGTAGTTGAAAGGTTATTAATCACCTTATTGTATATTAGTTATATACAAAACATACAGCTCAACACTGGTCATTAAACTAATAGAGGCTAATAGCCCTTACAATGATGAATTTTGATAATGGACATTACTTGCTATAACAAAATATTAAAAGGAGCCATGTATCAGTATGGCATCAACTCATACTGCAAGGACTTGCGTGGCTCTATAATGTAGGTATAGGCAAATCATTTACATATCTAGCATTCAAACAATTACAACTAAAATAACGTAAATTTTTCCACAGCATATACAGTATTAACAGTACAAGCAAATAATGCAAGTGGACAAGGAAAGTGGTAAGAACATAATAAGATGTTATAAGGAACATGGATTGTACTTTTTGTCTCTTTAAGGTCAAAATTTCCCCAAGACAAAAACCCAACCAGGAGATTAAGATATTGTGTATCCAATCACATACAGGGAAATAGAATATACAATTTTCAAGAGTCTACTTAAAGTCAAGTTATGGAAAAACAAGGAAAAGAAGAATCAATGAAGTAGGGGAAATTTATTCTAGGTTAGTAAGAATACAAGCATTATTTCAAGAACTTGTTGTGTAAAATACTTTTAATTAGATTATTGAGTATTAAGAAATGAATTGTTTCTCAGTTGTTGTTTAAGTCAAAGTTAAATCCAATGTTGAACTTTCTTCTTCAAGCATTACATAAGTGAGCATTACCTGCATCAAAGACACTTTCAAACTGCAACATGTGTGAATTTTTTATGTCAGGTTGATAGTTCAAAATAGTAACCATTTTGTATTCCACATAAATTTTTTATGTCACAGTAGTTACCCTAGTTACTTTTTATGATATAAAACTTACCTGCTACGAGGCAGGAACATAGACCCCTCTATAAACACTGATCCAGATAGCAATATGTACCAACATGTACTCAACTCCCGTTGACTGAAATTATAAAAGTTTATACAGATATATTTTACATTAGTTATATTATAAAGGTAAACAGAGCTGATAATTCACTCAAATCTTTTATTCATTTATTAGGTATATCATGTTATAGACACAAGGGGAGCAACCACTACATACCAGTTTATTACAGTCTTTGCAAGAGTAGTTCCCCTTTGCAGAATCAATCATTAAACTGACAAACTGACAAATATGTGACAGTGCACTAAGTAATGTATTGAGGGCAATATGTCATATTCATTTGACAGAGGACAAGAAACTCTCTTATAATATATTACACTCTATACTTAATAGCCATAAATGCAGATGTAAATGTTAAATATTAAAGGTAATAAAGTTTTACTCAACAAAATACTGGTTGCTATCAAATTATATTAGCAAAATTTCGTCATACTACAAGTACATGTAAAACAGTACATATATTTTAAAGCTTGACTGACATATGACAGATTCTTAAATTTTAAATGCAGCATATACATTTAAAGTTATACTTCAAGACTGAAGTCCCATCTGTAAATAACTAATTTTTGAAACTTGAACAGCAACAAAAAGCTTTCTTTGAAGTTCAAGGAAAATTGTTTTAATTACAACAGTAATCAAATACAACCAAAGATATCTATATTTTAACGGATGTTTGTATTTGCAAAATATTGAATGTTTGATCAACAATAAAGGTTTATAGGAGTAACAATAATAAAAGATTGTTCTCTGGAGGAAAAGCCAGACATTATACATGTACTGGTAGTAATACTTTTTAACTTTTGTCTTGTATTCTCTTCCAAGATTAATTGATGATTCTGCTATCACAACAAATAACCATAAAATTGCTTGATTCCCCAGTTATACCTTTAATCTCACACTTCATATACATTGTATAGCATTTAATCTACAATATTGTGTTAGTAGTTTTACTGTAGACAATGCAGATAGAACAATTTATCATACTACATATTGGAACATTGTATCAGCTGTCATAATGTAGTCTGAAAACCAGGCGGATACCTGACTTGTCACATATGAATTATCCACATCTAGGAATAATATTCATAAATCCAGGAATGTTTCTCACCTTCATATCTACTATGATGATCATTTTAACATACTCTATACATGTGTTTCCAAAATATGTTAAATAGAATCACAGGAGAAAAAATGATTTTCATAACATTTTTTTTTCTCCAAGTATTTAGCTTCAAACTGATTACTGTTTAAAGTCATAGTTTATCGACTGTAATATAAATCATAAAATCATTTTCTCTAAAATTCCAAACAATAAAGGTTAAATTTCTATACACCCACCATATAATTCAACCACAAAGTCAAAGAAGACAGTTACTTCAATCATTAAGTCAAGAAAGTTGGTAATTGGTCCTACATACATATGTTTTGTCAGATGAGCCGCGCCATGACAAAACCACATAGTGCGTTTGCGACCAGCATGGATCCAGACCAGCCTGCGCATCAGCACAGTCTGATCAGATCCAAGCTGTTCGCTATCAGTTATTACTTGTAATAGGGTTGGTAAGCGAACAGCATGGATCCTGATCAGACTGCGCGGATGCGCAGGGTGGTCTTGATCCATGCTGGTCGCAAACACACTATGTTGGTTTTGTCGTGACGCGGCTCATATGTTTTGTCATCCAGTTATTAATTACTAGTATAATATAAAAGAAGGACAAACCAGTAGAGTATATCATTGGCATCATGGTACTCGTATCTCACAGTTCTACATAATGCTCGTAATGCTGGTTCCCGTAGTGATGATAGAGCCTCCATTCCATGTAAATACGAATATATAACATCCAAATCCTGTAAAAACATCAACACAATAAACGTAAAACATAATGAAATTACATCAAAAATCAATTAAAAGTTTTATTTAGTATTCTAAAAACAAAGCAATCATAACTGAAACAAAATAACAAGAAAAAAACTTTATTCATTGAAACACAATGCAAGTCAATTGAAAAAAATTAACAAGTTCCTTTTGAAAGAAATCCCATCAATTACATATTTTTGACAATTTTAAATAAAAACTAAAAAAGATAAATAAAAGTTTATGTGGGCTGGAGAAAAAAATGGACATTTCTAGCTGGACAAATACATCAATCAATATGTTCTGTCTTTTTATAATATAATAACTAAACAAGTTATCTGTACACTTTTTTTTACCTAAAAACATTTTTTCTTGCATTAAAGTAGTTTATTTAGATGTACATTGTCCTTTTAAGTTGCAAGTTGCATTAGCAGAATAGGAAACAGTAGATGATTTACTGCATTCCTTCAATTTTAACTGGCCAAAATGGTTTGTATACGAATTTTCATTCTATTTTTTAAATGGGATATAACAATGTGATAAACCATGTTTTGCTTATTCATTTGGAATGTAGGTATTCAAAATAAACTTAACTATGCCATTTAAATACCCACTTTAACACTATTGTATAGGTAGTTTTGTGAACCAATTAAACGAATATATCTTTTGTGTTATTGCACATACCAAAGTATATTTAACTGTTACAAAAAGATGGAAGATAAAACACATCTCTACCGTTTATCAGTGTTTGCTATACTTAAAATAATCATTGAACAAGGTGGCCGGGGTTAAGCTCAGACTGATATATTCTTTCTTCTATGTCTGTGGAAAACTTCCTAAATAACACATCCATCATACACCTGTCACACATATTTCTACTGAAAACCAAATCTAACCTTAACCCATTTTACATGGTGTGACATAATAGTGTATCTGTGATTTACAATTTATAATCAAAAATATAAAATTTAGAACTTTTAAAGTTAGCTTTGAAAATTATTCCAGTCTGAAAAACTTTCTGATGGGACTTATACCTAAGGTTGATTTATTATATTAATAATAATTAATTAACAATAATGACTTTACTTAAAGAGAAGCAACACAGGAAAAGACAGTTTTCCCTATGAGCCTCTATCAAAATGTACAAAAAAGATTTTTCAATCAACCAAATTTTGAAAACATTTTTTTCTAAATTTCTGCAGATTTTTGGTCACTTAGCTTCCCTGATGATCCCTGAAACTATTAGCTATGCATTAAGGATCACACAATTGTTGTATTTTCAAATGATTCATACAGGCAGATCCTAACAAAATGATTCAGAAGTGTAACCCTAGCAAAAACTCAATACATTATAATAGCAGACAGTGTCAGATTCCTATCTCATGTAACACAAAATATGACATATTGCTCTGCATTCCTATGATGTATTGCTGCACAGTTGCAACACAAATTCTCAAAATATTCCTAGTGATTTTCGTTTTAAACATTCAACATTTTTGGAATCTAGAGTTCTGTTTACGGGTATAACTGTTTAGTTGTTAAGTACAGAACAACAAAAAACTCACTATAGTTTGTGAACCGGTAGTATATATAAATATAGTGGGGAGGGACAGTAAATCTGTCACAGATACAGGTAAGTTACACAAGAGAGCTGATATTGTGATATATGACTACAATATCAATAAACACACAACAATACTAACATATCTATCTTCACAACTCTACAAGATCATATTTTCCTGTTATTACATTCCGTACATATCTTAGCGAAGTGATACAAATTCTTTAAAATTACAGTATTTCAAAAATAACCTACATTTTTTCTAATGCCCCTTAAGCTTCAAATTATTATTACATACAGTAACAGTACTTATTAAAGCAATACATGTTATCTTAATTTACATATTATGTTTAAAAGATACTTAGCATATTTACATGTATAATCAATCTCTTTAAATATTGTATCATGCATGAGAGATTTACAATTGATGAATTTTAGAAATCTGAAACCATTACAGTTTCATGTCACAGGGGTTACACTTCAAAAAGGATTACTTTCCTTACACAATGAATGCAAAGATGATGATTTTTATTTATGAGAATATGCAAACCAAGCTAGGAGCAAACCAAACTAGGACGTTTAACCCCTGAGATCACAATTATTATATTTAGTTTGTATATTGAGTAAAATATATAGAAATAAGTAATTTAAAATAATAGAGATACCTCAAAATGGCATGACCCTGCAATGTCTTACTTGTGTTATATATTTAAAGCTTCAATGTACAGTTGTGTATACCAACTGCTATGAAAATATTTATGGAACATGAACTTGTAAAGGCTAATGTTAATTTTCAAATTAAACTGATCAGTGTAAACAATTATCATCATCCAATTAACAACCAAATTGATTCTTGCATCAAAATAGAAAATCTAATTTATAGTACTGTATCTTATAATCATTGTATTATAACACTGCCAGAAATTCTCTACAACATCATAACATAATGATTTCATAACATGTGGTATTCATTTAAATCATGGCTTTGATATACAAATCTTAATTCCCAGCAAATTATTTCTTAAAAATACTAAGTATTTAAATGTACCTCCCAGGCATGTTTTCTAATAACAACAAAAATAGACTTCAAATTCCTTTATAGATCTTGAAATGATATAATTATATATTCATTGCTTAACAGTTAGTCAGCAGATGATAATATTCTTACAATTATTACAAACTGCAGATATGAGAAGTTTTGCCAAAAGAAGCCACTGCAGTTCCAAGATCTGGTAGCAGGAAGACTTTAATTTTTGAGGACCATTTCATGACAATCCTCATATAGAGACTCATTTAAATGCCTGATTGTCCAAACATCTTGTATGCATGTTTTTCCCGTAATCACAAGAAAGGTGCAAATTAAAATATGTAGGCTCCCAAGAAAGGTACAGTGATCGGAAGTAGCAGGTGCTTGTAATCAACAGACAACCTACACAATAAACTGCACAGAGATCCACTATGAACAAGGGTGTTTATTCAATCATTGACACTGACACAGAGTCTTGGAATAGCTCAAAAAGATATTAGAATTACTATCATTTTAAAGATTCTGAAACGCATTATTTCAATTAAAACCAAATATACTGTCATATAATGATATAATTATGTTCAGATGATAATTTAGCATTTAACTTTAATATAATGCAAAAATAATACATTTTAGATAAATTTCAGTATTACTCAATTTACTGACAGGATTCAAGTATTATTTTGTGAATTGTACATAATCATTAATGTGAACATGTTATATAATACAGGATATTTTCTACCACAGCCATCAGTTCCATCAATACTATATACAACTAATCAGACAAATGGATACATTTTATCTCATTAAGTATCTTATTCTATTTGTTGTAGAATTTTATTACTTATTTTTTCCAACACCATTTGAATGTTTATAAGCAGTGGTTGTCAAAATATGTTGCCGACAAAAATAAATGAATGAAAACATTTCACAACAATTCTGAGGTTTCCAAAAATAGAATTTTTTATATCTTTAAATGAAAACATTTATCAGGAAAATCTCTGAGTCTTTCATCTAAAGTTATTACTGTACAATGCAAAAAAAAAGAGATTAACTTATCTTGATGATCATAATCGTGTAAAATCTGTCCTAAAATATAGCAGGCAAAATATTAAGGGTTATCTTATTGGCACTTACTACATTCAGCAAAAAATAATATTGACTGCTAGAATGAGATGGCTTCCTGCAAGCATGCAATATAAAGACTTATTTAGTGTATGATAACAAACTTACCACATCTGTTCTAAAAGGAGGTGGTTTGTGCACAACCAATCACAAAACTAGCTACCAACTAGAATATGTACCTGTTCAAGGTAAAATTATAGTTAATTTATTAATTAACAGACATTTAATCATACTTACGACATCTGTTCTAGAATGAGGTGGTTTCTGCAAGCAGGCAATGAAGTGACGATCTGTGTAACTAGCCATCTTGGCAAAACTGTCATGATGTATATTATAACTGTAGCGTTCCAGTGATGTTGGGAACATGGCAATCACTTGAAGCTGTTTCACAAGCAACCACTTTAAACTTACTAGTTATTGTAACTTATATTACTGGCACTTTTACTGTATATTTTACAATTTCTTCCAATATTCTAAGAAATGAAAGCACTATAGAACAATGAATACTATGAAATATTGTCAAATTATCCTGTAATCTTTCATAGAATACTTTAGGTTTCTGTAAATACTTTTTTTGTACAAAATATAAATATGCAAGCACCAAAGTTAAAATATCCAAAATATGTATATGCATAAATGCAGAAATTGTGCTTTTTTGTATTACAATTTGCAGACAAGTAAAATGTGAAAAATGCAACTCTGGTAACAGTTTTCCTAAGTTAAAACACTAATTCATTTTTTTTTAATATAAAATCAGCAAATGGCTGAATGTAATAGTTTGGTATAAAATAATCCACAATTCTATTTGAAAGTCATGTTTTTCACCAGTGGGAATCGTTCATAGACTATCCATAACCAAAACATATCTCCATGTCAAATTGCCCAATATCGCTGGCTGCTAGTCTCTCCATAATGCACACACTGAAATCATACAATACAAACAAGTTAATATTCCTTTCCTACAAACACTCTTCTCTCTATTTAAGGGCTTTTCTTTTTTCAATAAATTGGGCAATGCAGATTAGTTTTTGGAAATATAACTTCTTCAGAAATCAGATTCTGCAGGAGCTGTCAAGTCTGTTTTTAAACTATTTAAGGATAGAGATAATCACTTGATTTTATCCAAATCCAACTATTTATTTTCTAAGTAATATCATACATGTACATGTATTATTACAATATAGTTAACAAATCACAAAGACTATCGTCAATCTATCACACAAATATCTAAATATAAGCAATAAGATAATCATAATCCGCTATCATATACTCTTATAACAAACACATCACCTGTATGCTTTAAGAACATTAAAGATATGCAAACAAGAAGAAAATATTTTGATTATAGCAATTTGCTTGCATTAACTTTGAACTTTATCTTAAACAAAACTCAACATGTTTACTATTTCAAGACATCACACAATACCTGCTGCCACTCAATGCCACATTGTGAAAAAAATCTATTTACATATTCTTTTTTTTACTGCCTATATAGATACTGACTGATGATGTATGTAGTACAATATGGTGCATACAGGAAATTATACTGTTGATATTGGTTGGCAAAACTAGAATATCTTGTCAAATCTTAAGCTTGCACAGCTGAATAATGACCTGAAGTTTCTATCTTTAGAATCTATTGGCATTCAAACCTGCATTCTCAGACTTATACCTAGGTCAAGAAACTAATTATCTGTTTATTTTCATACAGTAATTATCCAATTACCATGTTTTTTTAACCCATTTAGTAAAATAGCAAATGCATGTTCGACCTCCACCTGTATCGTTTACAATTTAGATTTGAACACAGTTAGATACACTGGAACCAAGAAAAACAATTTTATAGACAAAATGATTCCCTTAATTTTCCAAGAAAAATCAAGTTCAGAGAGTTCAAAAGAAAAATCTATATCAAAGGTTTGTCTGGAAGTTTTTTATTCTATGATTTATAAGTTTGTCTACTTTCAGGTTTAGACACCAGTGTTTCTCAACCAAAAGTTGACCATTATACTTGTCAGGTTCTAGTACTAACTGATACTAACATTAAGTTCAATTGAGAAAAGCCAAACTTTCTGGTCTGATCTTCAAATCCAAAATACTTCATATCATTACAAAAGTTATGAACAATGATATTAAGTCAGTGTGAACTGTGAAATATAATTATTTGTGCAAAAACATTTTTTGTTAAAAGATCTATATCTACATAATATAAATCAATTATCTTAATTAAAAAGTAAGAAATAATTATTAAACCAACCCTTAGTCATTACTATATAAAAACTCTTAGACTTAGTCTACATGTACATAATTTCATCTGAGTATATGATTCCGTGAGGCAGCTCAAATAAAAAATCTCTTAAATAACAGCAAAACACAAAGTTCAAATTCAAAGCAGGAGAAATCAATTACTCAAAGTTAGAGAGGTCAAATTTGGTGTAAGTATACATGTACACCAGTCTCATATTAGTGCTCGCCAATTGTTTTAAGCCAATCACCGACGAGGAATTTTCAAATTTTCAGGTTACAAATCTTAATAGAACAGTTTTTATATAAACTGGATGTTTTATATTATAAAACGCAAGTGGGCGGAGCACTAAGTCGGTTAGAGTGCATATTGGATGTTCTTCGTAAATAAGAAAGCTACAGTCGCTTCGCAAGCTCCGCTCCTTTTTAGCTTTCTTATTTACGAAGAACACCCAATATGCACTCTAACCTATACTTAGCAAAGATACTAAAAATAATCAATTAAGTTTACCAACCTTGCTAAATTTCGGAATATTTGATACAGTACTTCACTTGGTAAAATTCTTAACTGTTGAAGATAGATGAAGACAGGGGATTTAAATATGCATTGCTATTCAAAGTTATTGCTTACTAATTCTCAAAAGTAATTTGCATTTTGCAGAAATCAATAGAAGAAATGTTTTGCAGGCAAATGAAACTATTTCTGCAGCAAGCTTACTGGTTTTCTTAACATAGGATGCCTTGTTTATTGCAATCATTGGATTTAACCCCGTTGCTTTGTGTAAATTGATAAAGAATATTAACATAAGCTACTTGTTAACTGGTGGGTTTTTGTATAGTCAAGATTAAACTCTTTAATCAATCACAACTCACAGTATATTCATCTTTCAAAATTCATTCTGTACAAAAAAAGAAAAAAAAAGATCAGAAATGAAAACAAGCTATAAAATTGATGCACAGCAAACATGTGAAGATGATTCAATAAAATTTCCCCTGGTTTGTAGCCATAACTTGTCTGGGCTTTCTCATAATGTAGTTATCTCTGCGAGTAGACAAAATACCATTTGCATAGAAAACCATGTATGGAGTCTAGCTTGCCAACTTCTATTATATCTGAGATCTAGAAGATCCTTCCTTTACTGATAACTTATAATAAATCTCACAAAAAAACTTGAATCAATTACAATTCAATTACATTGTACGGTTTGCATGGATCTAAACATGGCAATATCTAATCTATAATTATGTTGTTTTTTTCTCTCTCTCAAAAACTTTTTCCAAATTCAATACACAAATTCACACAAAAGAAAGCAAAGATCATGGTTCAATATTATTTCTGAGTACATATTACAATTATGTGAATATTATTAAAGGAACTACACTGAGGTCCAAAGGCCTAATACATGTAGCATAAAAAGTTTAATTCTTACATAGATCAACAGGGGATGCATTTAAAACAGAAAGATATGCAAAGGGTAATTAAGAGATATACTTAGAAATAAATTGACAAGCGTATTTTGTGCTATTCTGAGCACGGTTTGAGTGAAAAACGTTGCAAGGCTTTTTAATTTTGGGCTATTTTTTGCAATTAGAATAAATATTTTGGAAAAACTGAGTAAGTGAAAAGTCTGAAGTTTTGCAAACAAGTTATTGGTTTAACATTAATCTCGAAAAAAACTGACCCGTCATGTCAAAAATCCTAAGTGGAGGGCCTTTACGGGAACACCAACAACAAAGTTACATTTTGTTCTAATATCATCCATTACAGTTTGCTCTAACAGAAATAATTAATATCAACTCTACTAGTCTACTGGCAGTCAATGAATTTAAGATTTTGAATTTACTAGTTTGAATTTATTCTACTATATATTTAACTAAATTTTCTTAAAACTTTCACTGGCCCAAATTGATTTTCACTGGCCATGGGCCACCGGTCCAGTGCTAAATTTGATGACTGCTACTGGCCCCTTAAAGCTGCTAAAGGGTTGTTACAATGACCAGATTTAATAAGGGCTAAACAATCATGTTCATCAGGTCAATGTCAGAGATGGCCCAGCATTTAAGGAGCTTGTCTTTTTTCACCCACTGATGTCCTTAAATGAAACCACTGAAATACTGGTAGTTAATCTTAGGAGCAAACTAGAAAATACATATGTAGTGCAAATTATAATAAGTTTCATGCTTTTCTCACAATTCAGCTATAATAAAGATGTTTCAATCAAAATGAATCAATTTTAAAATGTCTACACTCAATAGATACTAGATGGTGATTCACACAAGATAGGTATTTATTAGCAACACTAAAAAAAAAACCAACCCTTAAGTAGCATGATTGAGTGTTTTGCCTAGTAAACAAGAGATACCACTGAGTCAGTGCCTAAGGATTTTCATGTTTACATGTAATTGAATGAACAAAATCACCATGCTTTAATTCAAGTGTATTATTAGAAGGTAAATGTATGAAAATCAGGAAAGTGTTCATAGCATGTCAATTGTCAATTAAGGAAAAAGTTTAACTAGTCAATTAAGGAAAAAGTATAACTACATGAGCATAGATTTGCAAAAGGTATTCTCTGTTCAAGCTAAAATGCTGATGTTTTGCTTATGGACAGTCACACTGTCATAATTAAACTTTGAGAAATGTTGCTCCTGATTGCACTACCAAACTAAATAAAAAGCCATTTCTAAGTCTTACTGTATGCTTAAGCCTTAACCTTTCTAACAACATGGTGTTAATAATGTCTCCCTAGTGTGCAGTGATTATAGGATATGATTTCCTAAGGCCTAAACAAATTGTGTTGTGTAGGTCACCTTAAGGTCACCTTGTAGGGACTGAAAATACTTTTTTGAGATTTGTGAAACATTTGATGGAGATCTTGACCAATGACATCTAGGCCCAAGTTGTCCCTTTACTGTAGAACGTCATGGATAACAGTTTCCATGAATAGATTACATAGCTTACTTACGGTCAGAAGCATTTACTTTCATATGATAAGCTGTCAAATTTTTTTTGTACATTTATAGGATGTATTTCCGCTGAGCATTGGTCAAATCACTCTAGGACTAGTTGTGTCAATCCCAAGGATTTTTCAGGCTTGCCTTATACATTTTTAACCAACAAAAAACATTAAGATAGTTTCTATTAAAATTTGTTCTATTATCATATTATCTCATTTTTAAACTGAAAGATTAATGGCTTTTTAAACAAAAGCGCCACAAAGGTGGGGAAATATACGCAAGAATGTAAATAAATTTTCTGAGTAATCAAAAATAATCTTTCAGTAAAGGTAGAGTTAAAGACCCAATCAAAAAACTTGTCTACAAATGTTTGATCTTAATTATCCTTATGATACCACATGACAAGGTGGAGGCATAGTATTTATCCTAAAATGACAAGATGTGTTTTCCTATACATGTACATTAGTCTACAAAAGACAAGTGATTCCCAGGGCAGGACCAATTTGACCTGAGGCTCATGATAAACTTTTGTAGAAATCTATAAACTGATGCTACATGCCAAAAATCTAAGCTCTGAGCTATGTAAATTCACAAAATAACACTTTAAAGATTAAAACAACTACGGTCTACCTGAAGTAAATGACCTCATGGGTGGGGCCAATAATGACCAAAGGGGCATGATTAATACCTGTTTTTTACAGGCCAAGATGCAATGCTATATGTCAAATTTCTAAACTCAAGGTACTGTACATCTGTAGTTTGACGACAATAATATCAGTACTTAAATGTGTTTTCCTATACAAAACAATATTAACTATGTGACCCCCGGGGTGAGCAGGGATAGAAAATTCCACTTGTCCGCTCTTATTTATGAGTCAAGATCGATGCTGGATGAGTACAAAATGTTAGGAAATTTGCAAAATTTTGTAATGGGAAGCTAGAATTCTCAATATCTGTAATCAGTTTGTTTACTTTTGAAGATGGAAAACCCACTTTACACATTATCAATTGGATACGGGTGTAAATGGAACATGCCTGACAATGCTCTATAAAGTGCGTTATTTATACATTTATAACCTAAAACACAAGCTTTGTTTTCCGGATTTGGTATGTTAAATTTCTGTAAACAAACCAATTATAAAATTTTTTAGCGGTTGATTGCATCGGCGAGGTTCTATTGCATCAGGGAGATTTATTTTGAAAATTGTGCCCAAAATACAGGAGTAGCATACCATGCAGGGGCGGCGAAAGCCGAAATCAATTGTCCGTATTGCCCAGGTTGTCCCACAGCCTGTACGCCACGGACAAGTGGAAATTTTCTAAAATTTACTATATAAGTATCATACGGACAAGTAAGGAAATGCTTCAAGTAAAAACGGACAAGTTAATCAAAATCAGATTTTGCCAGCCCTGCCATGCAGGACAAGTAGAAATTTTAAGCTTAGGTAGTATCTGCAGCACAAACAACTCTAAAAATTTGTTTGATCCCTGGTGTAGTACTAGAAGTAGTACCAAAAATAATTCTTTATGTACAAAATATCACTGAATCCATTGTTAGAAAAAATACATGCAGATGTCCCAGGGGGTCTGCTATTAAAAATGTTTTTCATTCTACTGGGACACATTGATTTTTGTAGGGGACTCATTGTTTTTAACATGTGCGTCCTCCAAGTGAATCCCCCAAAGCTAAAGTCTTTTATGTACAGAATGTACTGGAAAATTGTGTTTAGCTTTGTTTCCAAATTTGAGAATTACACCGGCTGATGTCAACCATGACACTTAAGAGTTAAACAAGATCTGGTATGACGTAAATCATAGAACCGCTTAAAAGTTAGTGTGCTAAATTGTTATTTGTATGCATGTACTATATTTGGAACATCTTTATTGACACATGACATGCTTTCAATACTCAAATGCAAGATTTAATTTACTTTCTTTTTATTTTAGGTACTGAAATAAAATAATAGAATATGTAACCAAATCACCTTTTATCATTTTTGAAAATAAAAATAAAAGAAAGGACATGATATTGACTTTTTTTACCATCCACACATATATAAATGTTTGTAAAGGTTAACCCGAAAATGTCAGTATCAAGCATTTTGACAAGCTAGGTACACTTAACAATTTACCTCATATATACACGAAACAACGCACTTTCGACCCCCCCCCCCCTTTTTAGGCCTGAAATAGTGAAAAAATGTCCTATTTGGGCCCCAAACACATGTTTTGGTTTGAGAAATGTTGCTAAAAAAAGTGAGCACTTTTTCGGCGCTGCCCCCAATCTAAAAGATACAACAGGGGGTTTCCAGAAGGGGGATGTGCCCCCTTCTGTTTGTTTTGGGGGTTTGAAGGGGGACGGAGTCCCCCTCATCGCTAAGAAAATTTTGGACTTGTGAGAGGCTAAAAATGACCCCAGGTCGATCATAACTTCATAAGGTAACGTGTAACCAACGCTGAAAAGCCTTTGACTCTATCTCAATCCCTTGAGAAGTTGCTGCACTTTGAAATAAATTTTGATGGAAAAAATCGAGGCAAAATAGTGATTTTTGGCAATTTTGAGATGTCCCCTCGTTGCCATGGTAACAGGAAATTTAAGACTGAGCATGTCGTTACAAAGGCAATGGTCCAGTCAACATTTGTGCCAAGTTTGATTAGTATTGAAGCATTTTTCATAGTTTCATAGCAGTTTGAACTTGTAACAGGAGGCTTTTCAGTGAAAACGGCCATTTTTCACAATATGCTCATGGGGGAAAGGGTTAAGATTAAGCTTGAGATTCTTAGACCTGTGGCTACCAGGTAGCCACAGGTCTAAGAATCTCAAGCTTAATCTTAAGCGTACCCAGTAATGAAATAATTTAATCTTTGATTGGTTTATCAGTTTACTTAAAATTTCTTATTCTTCTATATATATCTTCCTTACTTTCATACTATGATATCAAAGTCAACACACAACATGCATATTCATGGTTAATTAATGTTAAAAATCTAAATTCCGAGCTATGTCTACTGGTCTAAGAATCAAAACAAATTCAACAAGTGTGAAATATTTTTCACTAGTTCGGATGACATTAAACAAATAAGCAATTCTGACAACTAAACATCGCTTGAAGTCGATAAATCAGTTCATCTTCAAAGGCAATCAAACATCACAAAGGCTTAATCACAATTGACAAAGGAAATAAACACTTAAAACTACTCACAAACACTCAATTACTGTCCGATAACTTCCATGTTTATTTCCAAAACGAGGCTATCACTTGTCGCATTTCATTGGTCCATTTTTCACGATTACCGGTGCGCGCCCTGGATGACTAACAGTGAAACGAATAGAAGTAAGTAAAACGGAAATACCTCAGAAAATTACGAAACATTGTTTAAACCGAAACGCCGAAGATATGCATCCATTTCTTAGAAACAATTTCAGATTCCCAATAGAAATCAATGAAGCTTGGCAATACCGGTATGTTCCAACAATACTGTGCTGTACAGTAAATTTATGAATATGTTTTAGCACTATAAAATATAACCTAGCTTCAAGAATCATTTGCATACCTACCTACATACCAAAATTTCTTTCCGGTTGTGTTAAAAATTATGTTTTTAAAGGTAATATGACAAGTTACAAGTAAAGAGTGATGGTCAAACCTTTAATGATCCTAAAATGTAGGCAGACATACTAATATAAACAAACAATTTGAGTCTGTCTTCTTCCGCCCCAACCATTAAGTCTAAACCAGTCATGTAAACAATTGCTTACTCCACAAAATCATCCAAAAATGCCAAATGTCAACCAAATGTCAACCAATGTCGACCAACTGTCCCCAAGGTTATTGAAAGAACTTCATACTGAAATTGCCCCAGTTCTCACACACATCTTCCAAATTTCCCTAAAATCTGGTACTGTCCCTCATGACTGGAAGCATGACTAGTCATTGTCCCTGTTTATAAGAAAGGCCAAAAATGTAAGCCTAGTAACTACAGGCCTATATCACTAATCTGCATTGCCTCTAAGCTAATGGAGCATATAATTGTCTCCAATATCATGTCTTTCTACGACAAGAATGATATTCTCAGCAATTTCCAACATGGTTTCAGGTCAAAACATGCTGTGAATCCCAGTTATCAGTTTCACCCAGGAAGTTTATGACAATCTAGAGCAAGGCCAACAGGCCGATGTCATTGTCATGAACTTCAGCAAAGCATTTGATAAAGACGACCATCACAAACTTCTCCTTAAACTACACAGACTATGTGTTAGCTCAGAGGTCATCTCATGAACTAAGTCATTTTTATATGGTCGCACCCAACAGGTCGTTGTTGATGGTCAAAACTCTGACAACCTACCTGTTCTCTCTGGTGTCCCCAAGGCTCGGTCCCTTGATCTTCAATAAATTTAGTATTAAACTACACTCATTCAATATCCTCTTTATATTTAACAATCAAATCAACCCAAGACGCCGAAACCCTCCAAAAAGATCTCCACAGTCTTGAAAACTGGGTATCTGATTGGTCCATGGAGTTTAACCAAGATAAACGTGAAGTCCTTAGTATCAGCCGCAAGAAATATCCAGTAACATTCCCCTATAATTTACATGGTCAACAAATAAAATCCACTGAGACTGCAAAATATTTAGGCGTAACAATTAGTAAAGATTTATCTTGGACCAATCACATAAATAACATAACAGCAAAAGCAAATAACTCACTCAGATTTATAAAAAGAAATGTCAAAACTTCAAATAAAAAGGTCAAAGAAACTGCCTACAAAACTTAGGTCCCAGTTAGAATACTGTTCCACGGTTTGGCATCCTTGGCAAAAAAATCTGGTTTACAAAATAGAACAAGTTCAAAGGTCAGCTGCCAGATATGTATACATTGACTACAATTACACCAGTAGTGTATCTAAAATGATAAGTGAACTTAATTGGCAAACCCTAGAACAGAGGCGCAACATCAGCTCTGTTACCTTTCTCTACAAAATCCAACACGATCTTGTGAGGGTCGACCATCACCACCTGACACCCACTAGAAACCTGAACTACCTAATACCATATTCAAGGACACAATATCACTCCCATTCATTTTCCCCCAGAAATATTCGTCTGTGGAATGGCCTACCCGTGTCCTTACAAGCTAGTCCCAGTTTAGACCTCTTTACTGGGCAGCTGCATCCTTTTTACCAGTTCTAAGTCAGCTTTGTTTTTCACTTTTATCTCAGTCTTGTAGTTCTTTTTAACTTGCTTTTACCTTGTGTCTATAAATTTGCACTTAACATATTTGTTTTTAACAGCTATTCCCAGACAACGCGCCTGCTTAGTGTAATCGATTACGATTTGAAGCAGTATAAGGTAGATAGATAGATAGATAGTTTCCAACTTTCCCCTACTGGCTCCGTGCATTATTTCAGACACGAAATGGCAACATAGTAGATGTTCTGTAAGCTAGATAAATCGAACCAATTGAGGCTTTGAAGTCCATACATAAAAAGTCAACGACCAAACATACAAAGTCAACGACAATATATACGTACGTACGTACGTACGTACATACATAAATACATACATACATACATACAATTTACAACAAATTGCTTAATTTATTCCATGTTTTGCTCCAATATAAAGCAGTTACAATTGTTAAATTTGAATTTCTGCTGCTGGTGTAAAAATATAAGGTTTATCCTCTTATTTAAAAGCCGGAGCTATGTTTTATATGGCGAACTTCTTTTTTACGAAATGTGTACTGTCTTGGCATTTGATGAGTAGAAAAGCCCAACTTATACAAATTTTGCATATTAAAATTCACGCCAATACAAGACAACCCTGGCATTATTTAACCAAACAATTAATGTGTTCTTCACCAATGATAAAATACAAGAATGATTGTTCATTTATCAAATAGGTTACAGATTAACACGTGAACACTAGGTTCTTTTATTTCATGCCTGTGACAGAAAATAAGTTGTATGACACATGTAATGCTGAGATGAAAAAAGTATGTAACCTTGCTTCTTTTTTTAGGTTCAGCCTCGTTACCAAAAGATGTCTACACAGCCCAACATTTCGGAGGACACTCGTTCGCCCAATAATACTATAATGACATGTTTTTCCCCAAGGGCATTTTTTTCTTTCTCGAAGGATCTCATATAATTCATATACATTGTACTCACAATAGTGCGTGTAAATGCTGCTTGGTGGTTGTAAAATGTACACCGGTTCTATAACGTTCAATTTTTCTTTGCATGGATTCGATGTATTTTTCATTCTAAAGGCTATACTCCTTTGGGCCATTTATTAAAATCAGTAGACTCAAACTAGTAACTCAATGCCAACATTTTAGGCCATATGACATACATATAGTGCACAGAATTAGGCAAAACAGTAAATATGTGCGTAAAGAAAGAAAATAAAAATATTTGTTAAAAATCTTTTTATTCCAAAATTACACAGATTTACTTACGTAAACACATATGTGACAAAATGTCTACACTTAAGCAGTACATAGTTGAATATTCGTAATGTACAATAAAATTATTTGTTGTCTTTCACAATCATTATCCTAATATTCGCCAGTCGACGATACAAAAATCTGAGTATCCTGTGCAAAATTCTTTGTAGACTGTTGACGGCATTAATCTGTCGTTACCGCTAGTTAACACTGAAATCTTATGTTCATTATACCATTGTAATTGTTAATAATACAATAAGATAGAAAAATATAGAAAAAAAACGCGCTCATACCCACCAAAAATATGGAGTACATTCTAGAGAGTAAATGAACGCAGGATTACAGAAACCTATCTCTTCTCATAGGCATATAAGTTGAATCATATCCCTTTCATATCTAAGAATGTTTAAAATTTTAATGAATTGAGACAGTAAGACTTTAACATTCAAATATGTCTGATCATGCTTTGATCGTCAAGCAATCGTGTATAAATGTAAAGTATAAAAACAATAGTTCGTGAAATTTTAGTTTACAAGCAAATCAAAAAGCAGTAGCTGAAAGAAAGTAAACCAAACATTTCATACTCTACTCTAATTGTACAAGCATGGCCATGGATGTTTGAATTTGGCACCATTATTTCCCTAATTTTACTTACTACCTAATAACTATGCATCACATTAACTTTTAAAATGTTTTAAAAAAGATAAAAATAAAAAAAATCTGGTAATGTCATAGTAAAAAGTTTCCAGTAGACTAATCGAGATCATTTTTTATTTTACAAATATAATAATATTATGGTAAAATCTTATTAACGAAATCAAATACACCCTAGTAAATATTTCTTCATAATAAAGGAAATCAAGCAAGCTATTTCTAAAACATATACACATGTAAATTAACCCTTAGCTTAGCTTGATTCTAGCCATGCAGCCAGTACAGATCAAGATTAGCCGTGCCGTCTGATCATGTTCGCTATTCAGTCAGTACATATAATTTGAAATATTCTCTATAAATGAATAGTTTTGTCCAGATGAAAAGATGGACAAGTATTTGAAAGATATTAAGTAAGCTAAGGGTTAAAACGTTTATTTATTGAAACGTTTTTTTTATTGTATATTGCACAACCAGTATTAATATTATACAAAACATGTCAACAGCAAAATTGATATCATATAAACAATGCAGAGTGCATGGTCGTAAGAAACAGTCCAAATTCATTTTTTTATTATCCTCTGAAAATATAAAATCTTCGTCGTCGGCGAATCCATGCCTGGTCTCTTTGAAATTGTTGACAAGCAACGCAGCAAACTCGTTCATAGGCCGGGTGTGAACATAGTCGGGTGTTGGCACGGGTACAAAATTTTGCCCGGTTTGCTTCACAATTAGGTGGTTTACCAACTGAAAATATATGGTTTACTAGTGTATAGATGTACAGACTGTGTTGTTGAATAATAATAATAATAATAATAATAATAAAGCCATTGCAAAGATAAGCAGTAAATTTATAGTATTATTCTAAATTAAAAAAGATAACTTTCTTAGAGATAAATAGCATGCTAATAGAGACGGTGTCATTTATGGGGAATACACAAGAAATCTTTACCGACACATGGTCCATCACTACATGGTCTATACTCATCCGGGGCTTTTCCAGGGCAACTAGTTTGATCGCTTGGTTTAGTTGGATCACCACAATATATTATACGTTTTTGTTGACCCGACCCGCACGTTTTTGAACACTAAAATACAAGAAAAAAATCAAACAACTACACTAAATTTTGACACAAGTAAACGTCATAAAAATTGTTCAGTACTGATTGTTTGACACGATATATTAAGTACCTAATACATATATTCAAAGATAGCACAATGTCAAACAGTTGTCTTACAAAATTAAACAATCAAAAAAATGGGCTCTATCTTTTACACACCAATAAAAACAATAAAAATAAGTTACTATAAGTCAAATTAGCCTTTCGTTCAAATTACGGGATAAGTTGACGACGTAGAAATCTTAAATCGGCACCATCTATTCATGTTTCATAAACGCAATCAGTGTAACTGACTGTCTACTCTGGCGCGCCATCAGGCTTTTTTAGATTGAATCTATTGCGATTCATATTTCATTATACTAGCTACCTATTTCATTTTCAATTTGACAGCAGACGCCCTTTCAAGTTGCCATTTTTATAGTTGAGACATTTTTCGTCTTTGCTATAACATAATATATTTATGCTACTCTTGAACAAGACAATGTAAATCATTATAAATAAAATCCAATAGTTTAGATATGGATAATGTTGTTATCAATATACCATTGACCAAGGACCAGCTCCCCATTCTAGGAAATTACACGGCCCTAAATCACATGACTGTGTAGTTTCTAGCAGCCCTGCGTCCTTACACTGCGACTGTTTCACCTCGCGTTCTGCTCCACCATTCATTTCAACACACTTCTGGTTTTTAACTTGAATACCCTTTCCACAAGACACCGAACATGGTCCCCAACCAGCATCATTACGATCGACATATCTAAAATCAGAAGATAACGTATTTTTTACTCTCTAATTAAAACGAAAAAAATAATAATACATGTACTACCGATTTGAATAAAGAATGGAAACTATGCTTCCTCAAAACCTGTCAATGAGGTTATATTGCAACAAATATTTTCTTAGATAATAAAAAGACGTTTCAATGACGTTACATGTTACAATAATTAGCTTTAGATAATAAAATGTATCAGATAGACAAATAACTTAAAAATATGTACTAATAGCACATACTTGTAGCAAGCTGGACTTGAACAAAAACGTGTCAGATCTATCGGCCTAGCTTTGTGTCCGCAATTTTCATCACTAACCACTTTTATAATTCCATCCTCGAGTGTTACACATTCTGACTTCATTCTTTGAGTACCAGCGCTACCACATGGGACATCACATTTAGACCAGTCATTTGAACGATTCCAACGAAACTTTGTACAATCCAAATCTGTGCAAGGTCTGGTATTGACTGGTTTCTCATCAAGATCACATGAATCCAGGTCACTTTCATTTTCATCTCCGTTAGCAAAAACTTTGTAACATGAAATATTCTGTGTTTGGCTTTCAACAAAGCTATCACTGCACGATTTTGCACATTCAGGAAAGAACACTGAGTCTTGTAGTCTCCATTCAAATGTAAAGCATGGTAATCTATTACAAGGCCTCTCATTTCTACTAACTTCAATATCTTTGCAACTCGAATCATCAACTATATTATTGGACATATTTGATCTACACACATATATATGTGTCTGAGTTCCAGTGTCACCACATGTTTCAGAACACTCAGACCACTTACTGTTTGAGCTCCAGAAAAATGATTCACATGGAGTTCTGTTACAGTCTTCCCGATCTACAGGTTTTGTATCCACATCACAAAAATTAACAGGAACATCTCTTTCTCTGTCATCATACGTGACATTTTTGCAAGCCAATTTCCTTTCTTTCATCCCTTGATTACCACATGTATGACTGCATTCACTCCACTCACTAGTTACAACCCACTTGTAGCTAGCTAAAACATGCTCTCCTATTGCATGGCTGAGATTCAGAGGACTTCTTCTGGTGCAGACAGAAACGATCATGAACGATAACATTGTCTTGTAGTCTGTTACACACTTCTCTTTTCAGCTGTTCACCACTTGTACCACATGTTTCATTGCACGCAAGCCAAACAGCTGTTACTTTCCATTGGTACTTTTTGCATGGTATTCTATTGCAAGGTCTCGGTTCCTTTGGACTTTTTAAATCAGCACAAAATTTTTCGTCTGACTTTTCTGTCCTTTGATCGTTGTATTCCCTAACACAATAGAAAAGCTGATGTTGGGTACCAGTAGTTCCGCAACTCGTAGAGCATTCGCTCCATTCGGTTGTTACCTCATATCTATATTTAACCGTTTCACACTTTTTCCGGTTGCAAGGCTCGATGCTTATTGGTTTAGGAGAATGATTGCAATATACGGGGTCTACTGTTGCACTATCAGACAGCCTTTCACATTCAGACATTTGATGGCGAACCCCAGTGTTACCACACGATTCAGAACATTCACTGTAGTTTCTTAGCATCCTCCATATATACCTGTGAATATAAACACAAAACATGAACTGTCCAACAATATATATACAATGTATATGCTTAATCAAGGTGAAAAAGGGGGCGCCTATGTGGACCACAAGTTGAAGTCACGTATCCGACTTATGGAATCTATAAATCGTATTGAGTGGAATTCAATTTTATTGTAAAACTAAACTCATTTTAGTCAACATGTTAGATAAATGTAATTACACATCCGATTAATAATTACGTTTCAGTCAATTGCATTACATTGTAATATAATTATTTAGAAAATCGACATGCAACACATATTTCAATGACAGAAAACATAATATTTTCATTAAAAAATCCGAATAATAACTTACGATAAAGAAGAACAATCTACCATTTCACATGGAACATCATCAGCATCTTTACCTTTGATATACTGACACTTTTCTTCATCCACCTTTTCATCACTAACTTTGTCATAGCAACCATAAATTATATGCTGCACACCTAAAACAAATGTAATCACATGTTTCAGGGGTTTGTATGAGGTTGAAAAATTAGCTTAAATCTTTCTCAACCTCTCTTTTTGTCGATTACGATTTGTTTCGGTAAAAATTTACTGTACTGTAACTAAAAGAGCACAAGTTATAGAAATTTACTCGAATTTGTAACACACTAGTATCAAATAATAAGTCACAGGTAAGAATAACGACAACTTTTAGAAAATGACAAAGTTCAGCCAGTCATATATACCACACAGAATCTGTCTTAAAATACTAATATAAATATATAAGAATGTCGTCCTTAACCAATATTTATCGACTTTTTAAAAATGAAAACCCAACAGAAACAATAAAATGATGGATGGATAGATAAACGATACATCAAATAGATTTAATGTTCAGTGTGTAAAAAAAACTAGGACCTAAACGCTTTTCTCCAAACGCCCTCCTGGAACGTTTATACTAGTAATATGTAAACCATCATTATATATTTTATACCTTTTCCACATGAAACACTGCATGGACTCCAATCTTCGTATTTCCAAACATATTTGTTCTTTTCTAGAGTATAATCGTCTTTGTCTACAGTATAGGAAAACTCATACTGTGCCGGATGTTGCCAATGATTCGGATATACCTGTAATGTTACCAGAAAAATGATTAGTAACTGAGGCCAGTACAAAATGGAGCTCATTTCAACTTTAAGGATTATAAACAACGAGTGTTACAAATTATTTCCCATTTTCATAAGATTTTAAACATATAATAGAAAAACTAGAAATGTGTCGTCACGCCACGGATGCCCCCGCATGCAGTCAAAGTTTCAGATGTTACAATTATATTAAGTTCCAAATTTGTTTGCACAAACTTTTTTTTTATTTTAAGTTCAAAGCCCTTAAAACTACTCAATGTAAACACAAACCATTTTCATACAAAGTTCAAGGCACTGAAACTATTCAGTGTTAACCTTTTGTAAATTGCATATTGCATATTTGTAGCCAAAATAATGACTACATACATTTCAACAAAAGTATGAGTGCTGAAACTGAAAATTCAAATTTTTTCCAACATTCAAGAGAGATAACTCTGTCCAAAATCATTGAACCATGACCAAATTCAAACTTTAACTGCTTATTCCTAAGATGTATCTACATGTCAAATTTGAGTTGATGTGTACAACCATTTGGCAGATAATGAACGGAAACTAAAAAATTCTGATTTTTTTTTTCCGAAGTTTAAGAGGAATAACTCTGCCAAAAATCATCCAACTATGACTAATTCGAACTTGACCAGTGTATTTTTATGATATTTCACAGTATAATAAATTCTTACCAAAACATTAACGTCTCTATGTACTGGCCCATTTGACGTTAACAGCTCGTGCCCTCTGTTGTTTTTATATTCAAACCACGCCCCATCAATTACAAAATTCTTAGAACTGCCTTGTTTACCATCTCCATTAATGGCGTAGTTATAGTAGTAGGTGTCTTGTAATGCTGAATATTAATCAAAAATTAATAGTGAATATTTATATCTCTCTTTCACAACAAAAGTTATTCTTAAAACAGTTAATGTATTTTAAATGTATAGTAAAATATTGTCAATTGAGCAAAGCAAATAACAGACACATTGCAAAAGACATTTAGAATCGACGATGGTTACCAAAAAAAAAAAGGCCAATATAGGTAAAAATTGCCCTTACTGAGTTAACCACGCAGTAGAAATATGGTGATTAATTCAGCAATATCAGCCATTTATTGCAAAAAAAAATGTAAATTATCTCTTGAATTGTGATTTTTTTTAAATTTTCTTAACATTGGAACACAGCAAAGAAGTAGCGATGAAAACAAACCTACAAAGAAAATGAGGTGATGTTGCCAACTCCTTTACAGTAATGTTCCTGGATCCCTTTGGTAATACAACTACTGTATCATACTGTTTCCCAGCTGTAAATATGAAAAAATGTTGTAAGGAAATTAAAGTTATATTTATATTGTATAAGTAAAATTGTCAAGTCTGTTAATAAGAATTATATTCACAATTTTTGCGCACTAACAAAATTGAGTAGAGTTTATTTGTTCGAAATAATGTTAAAGCTTAAATTCCCATTCAATCGTCAATGAGATATTTTTGGAAATATTTGTAGATATTGCTACCTGCACTGTAGTCGAACTTTTTGCTGTATGTGCCGGTGACGTGTTTGCACGTGCTACCGTTACCTTGACAAACACCACACTCATCAAGTTTTAAATTAGAACCACGCACACCGTCGCATCCCACTTTCTGAAATAAAACCATTTTGATATAACATATTATAATAATCTTATTAGATCTTTACCATTCCGATTATAAAAAAATATCAATTACATGTATGAGTAAGTAAGTAAATATTTTTTATGGTGACATATGCAATATGTTGTAAGAAATATACAATAATTTATAACTATTGAAAGCATCCGGCACAATGGATCTATAAGTCATCAAAACATGGACATCATAATAAATTCAGGTATTGATCAATGCTATGATTACATAGTTGATAGATATATAAAATTACATATAGCCACATATAAATTTAGATAGTAGGTTTAAAGACATTTGTACGACATTATATATATTAAAATGGCTGTTGTAAGCACAGAGTAAGCAGAGATACAAAAGAGGTTATTCTGTCAATACACTGTATGTCCAAAATCGCCTATAATGAGATAATAACTTTCACCAGACGAGCAAATGTTTGAAAATGTTAATGAAAATATGTAATTAGACTTTTGTAACATCTTGTAATTTACAGAAGTTAATTTGTTAATTTACCGCGCACGTGCCATCAAGACATATAAAGTTGCTCTCGCCGTAGAAACATGGTGTCCCGTTGTCAACGAGACTATCAAACGTTACCACTCTATTATCACTAGTAGATACACATGTCAATTTACATAGATCATCATCTGAAAAGTATACATATATTTTTGTGAAATAAAATTCAAATTCGTGATTACAGTCCTGGTAAAAAATAAAAATACACCTTGGGGGAAAAAAACTTTAGCCCGCACAGTGTCCTTTTACGTGTCACATATTTGGCGTTAATCTGTGATTGCTATGAAACAGCTAATTAATTTTAGACCCTATCTTTCTTTTGCGGTTTAATATGGCTAACATTCTAACATTATCATTCCAACAATATCATTATCAATGCCTTTGTAGGTTTGGGAAGTCTAACATTTTAAATAGCAAAGTATGATTAACATATTGCCTGTGTAGAGCCGGAACATGTTTCAAGGACATACTGTTAGTTTTGGCTTCCGTGGTCAATTAATTATGAGAACTTACCTTTGTTAGTCTGATATGGTAACCAGGTATATGTTTTGCCCCGCACTGGTACTATGTCCATCATGCTACATTGCAGCGCTCTTTTGTCAACATATTCTGTACACACCTATAAATGATATATATAATTCCAGATGTAATGTGTGTATATATTTGAAACAGTTTATGCCCTAGACTGTCAAATTTAATTGAAATATTTTATCGAGGATGGAAACCTGTAGTATTTTACAATCATCATTAAACATGAGAAAATGCATCTCAGCAGAAAACATCCTAGAAAACCGTTAGATATGAGAATTGTATGTATTCTTACATTTGGTTAGAATCTTAAAAGGGATTTTAAGTAAATTAAAGAATATTTAATATAATAACCTGGGTAAAACAAGTGTCGGAATTTTCACTTTCACCTTCACAATCTTTGCCCTCATACTCCGGTCTACAATATATACATACTGTGTACAGCTTTAACATGTCGTACAAATAAATGTCGAGCTATATATAAGAATTCTTGAAATGAATTATGTCTTTTATGATTTATACAAAGCTGTCCATTTTAAAAAAGAGTTACGCAAAGAAATGTACAGCTGTAAGCTTGTCGTCATTAAATTGAAACAAATAAATTCAGTTTCAAGATTTATTCAAATAAATAAAAATATCTAGTTTACAACATACACAGATACTTTAACAAAGTTATGAGCATATTTGACATTTAATCTAGACAATCCGAACAATTTAAATTCCTGCAAGAAATAACCATATTTCATAATTACTTACATTAAAATGTCATTTGTCAGCTATCATAAATGAATACAGAATAGAAGCTTACGCTGGAGAGTCGCACGACCTTGACCTTCGTTTGAAGCCAACACCACAATTTTCCGAGCACGTGCTCCACTGTGTCCACTGACTCCACCCGCCATCTATCGGAGATTGAGAACCATGGTAACCACACGACCCTCCTTGGCAATAGTACTGTAATAACAAATATCATACATGGTAACCACACGACCCTCCTTGACAGTAGTACTGTAATAACAAATATCAGACATGGTAACCACACGACCCTCCTTGACAATAGTACTGTAATAACAAATATCAGACATGATAAATACACGACCCTCCTTGACAATAGTACTATAATAACAAATATCATACATGGTAACCACACGACCCTCCTTGACAATAGTACTGTAATAACAAATATCAGACATGATAAATACACGACCCTCTTTGACAATAGTACTGTAATAACAAATATCAGACATGGTAACCACACGACCTTCCTTGACAATAGTACTGTAATAACAAATATCAGACATGGTAACCACACCACCCTCCTTGACAATAGTACTATAATAACAAATATCATACATGGTAACCACACGACCCTCTTTGACAATAGTACTGTAATAACAAATATCAGACATGGTAACCACACGACCCTCCTTGACAGTAGTACTATAATAACAAATATCATACATGGTAACCACACGACCTTCCTTGACAATAGTACTGTAATAACAAATATCATACATGGTAACCACACGACCCTCCTTGACAATAGTACTGTAATAACAAATATCAGACATGATAAATACACGACCCTCCTTGACAATAGTACTATAATAACAAATATCATACATGGTAACCACACGACCTTCCTTGACAATAGTACTGTAATAACAAATATCATACATGGTAACCACACGACCCTCCTTGACAATAGTACTGTAATAACAAATATCAGACATGATAAATACACGACCCTCCTTGACAATAGTACTATAATAACAAATATCATACATGGTAACCACACGACCTTCCTTGACAATAGTACTGTAATAACAAATATCATACATGGTAACTACACGACCTTCCTTGACAATAGTACTGTAATAACAAACATCATACATGGTAACCACACGACCCTCCTTGACAATAGTACTGTAATAACAAATATCATACATGGTAACCACACGACCCTCCTTGACAGTAGTACTGTAATAACAAACATCATACATGGTAACCACACGACCCTCCTTGACAGTAGTACTGTAATAACAAATATCAGACATGGTAACCACACGACCCTCCTCGCATTAGCACTGTAATAACAAATAGCATACATGATAACCACACGACCCTCCTCGACAGTAGCACTGTAATAACAAATATCAGGCATGGTAACCACACGACTCTCTTCGACAGTAGCACTGTATTAACAAATATCAGACATGGTAACCACACGACCCTCCTCGACAGTAGTACTGTAATAACAAATATCAGACATGGTAACCACACGACCCTCCTCGACAGTAGTACTGTAATAACAAATATCAGACATGGTAACCACACGACCTCCTCGCATTAGCACTGTAATAACAAATAGCATACATGATAACCACACGACCCTCCTCGACAGTAGCACTGTAATAACAAATATCAGGCATGGTAACCACACGACTCTCTTCGACAGTAGCACTGTATTAACAAATATCAGACATGGTAACCACACGACCCTCTTCGACAGTAGTACTGTAATAACAAATATCAGACATGGTAACCACACGACCCTCCTCGACAGTAGTACTGTAATAACAAATATCAGACATGGTAACCACACGACCCTCCTCGACAGTAGCACTGTAATAACAAATATCAGACATGGTAACCACACGACCCTCCTCGACAGTAGTACTGTAATAACAAATATCAGACATGATAAATACACGACCCTCCTTGACAATAGTACTATAATAACAAATATCATACATGGTAACCACACGACCCTTCCTTGACAATAGTACTGTAATAACAAATATCATACATGGTAACCACACGACCCTCCTTGACAATAGTACTGTAATAACAAATATCAGACATGGTAACCACACGACCTTCCTTGACAATAGTTCTATAATAACAAATATCAGAAATGGTAACCACACGACCCTCCTTGACAATAGTACTGTAATAACAAATATCATACATGGTAACCACACGACCCTCCTTGACAGTAGTACTGTAATAACAAATATCAGACATGGTAATCACACGACCCTCCTCGACAGTAGTACTATGATAACAAATATCATACATGGTCACCAGACGACCATCCTTGACAGTAGTACTGTAATAACAAACATCATACATGGTAACCACACGACCCTCCTCGACAGTAGCACTGTATTAACAAATATCAGACATGGTAACCACATGACCCTCCTCGACAGTAGTACTGTAATAACAAATATCAGACATGGTAACCACACGACCCTCCTCGACAGTAGTACTGTAATAAAAAATATCATACATGGTAACCACACGACCCTCCTTGACAATAGTACTTAAATTACAAATATCATACATGGTTACCACACGACTCTCCTTGACAATAGTACCATAATAACAAATATCATACATGGTAACCACACCACCCTCCTTGACAATAGTACTATAATAACAAATACCATACATGATAACCATGACAATAGTACTATAATAACAAATATCAGACATGATAAATACACCACCCTCCTTGACAATAGTACTGTAATAACAAATATCATACATGGAAACCACACGACCCTCCTTGACAATAGTACTGTAATAACAAATATCAGACATGGTAACCACACGACCCTTCTTGACAATAGAACTGTAATAACAAATATCATACATGGTAACCACACGACCCTCCTTGACAATAGTACTGTAATAACAAATATCATACATGGTAACCACACGACCCTCCTTGACAATAGTACTGTATTAACAAATATCATACATGGTAACCACACGACCCTTCTTGACAATAGTACTATAATAACAAATATCAGACATGGTAACCACACGACCCTCCTTGACAATAGCACTATAATAACAAATATCATACATGGTAACCACACGATCCTCCTTGACAATAGTACTGTAATAACAAATATCATACATGGTAACCACACGACCTTCCTTGACAATAGTACTGTAATAACAAATATCATACATGGTAACCCACACGACCCTTCTTGACAATAGTACTATAATAACAAATATAAGACATGATAAATACACGACTCTCCTTGACAATAGTACTGTAATAACAAATAGCATACATGGTAACCACACCACCCTCCTTGACAATAGTACTGTAATAACAAATATCATACATGGTAACCACACGACCCTCCTTGACAATAGTACTGTAATAACAAATATCATACATGGTAACCACACGACCTCCTTGACAATAGTACTGTAATAACAAATATCAGACATGGTAACCACACGACCCTCCTTGACAGTAGTACTGTAATAACAAATATCATACATGGTAACCACACGATCCTCCTTGACAATAGTACTGTAATAACAAATATCATACATGGTAACCACACGACCCTCCTCGACAGTAGTACTATAATAACAAATATCAGACATGATAAATACACGACCCTCCTTGACAGTAGTACTGTAATAACAAATATCAGACATGGTAACCACACGACCGTCCTTGACAGTAGTACTGTAATAACAAATATCATACATGGTAACCACACGACCCTCCTTGACAATAGTACTGTAATAACAAATATCAGACATGGTAACCACACAACCCTCCTTGACAGTAGTACTTTAATAACAAATATTATACACGATTATCAATCAATAATAAATTAGAAACAGAGATAACCATTTTCACATGTAAACTGGCGTATGATAAATGATGTTTGTTATTCGATGACTTCCTCACGTTTTGAATATATTTCTGTTACGGTAAAAAAGATAAAAGCCGCGGTATGGTATATCGAGAGTCCCGTGTTTGAGTCCCGGTTAGGCTGCACATTTTTCTCACCCTGGGACATTTGGCGCCTTATGCAGGCGACTTTACCAAGTTATGATACATAACCTTATGTCCACCATCAAAGGAGCTTGTAGTTAAATCAAATATTTTCATCTATTATATGATTGTTTGGAAAGTCCGTTATGTGCATATATGTCATTCGCAACAATACAAGGTGTTAAATGTACCTGGGGCGAGCCTCCACATTGTGTACCATCTAAAGGTACGACGTTCTTTGTCTTGCAGGAATAACGCCTGGTCTCATCTGTACACCACATTTGATTACATGGATCAATGTGAGTAAACTGTAAATACACATTAATTTTCTTCTTTTTATGGCTATTTTATTCGACAGTCATTTCGAAATATCACTTTAGGTCTTAATTAAATACGTTGATTCATAATTGGAAAGTAAATAATTTGCTCTATTTCCTGTTAAAATTGTATTCATTACAAAACTAATAACGTCATGCATAATATTAAACATAGCCTAATACAGTGTCTTTATGCATATATTTGTAAAATGGTGTAATCTATTTGAGCCGCGTCACGATAAAACCAACATAGTGCCAAAACCAACCAGCCTGCGCATCCGCCCAGTCTGATCAGGATCATGCTGTTCGCTATCAGTTTCTCTACTTGTAATAGGGTTGGTAAGCGAACAGCATGGATCCTGATCAGACTGCGCGGATGCGCAGGCTGGTCTGGATCCATGCTGGTCGCAAAGGCATTACGTTGGTTTTGTCGTGACGCGGCTCAAATGTACAAATGCCACTTACCGCCCTGCAAAATCGAGCATTACCGCCGAATTCTAGCCTACATTGTTCATCTAACGACCAGCTTTGTCCAAGAGGAATTCTAAGGTCTTCCTTTATTACGACGAATGGGTTATTATTCAGACAGTACAAATGTCTAAAGAAAAAGTTTGAGAAAATGTCTTCATTTTAACTAAAATAAAACAGTTATCATTATAATGCAATATAAAAATAATGATCACGTACCTATTTCAAGCAGATATAACTATTATCTTAGGGCTAATCTCATTGAATATTGTACAGAATTTGTTTGTGTTTTTCACGGTAAATAAGCATTGCATTTAACTGCCTTTAAGACACAAAATTGCATTTTATGTTATGGTATATTCAATGGAAGCGTATTCAGATTTTCAAGCTGTATTACATGTATTTGCATGCACTTTGGTATATATACTTTTAATGTACTTAAAATAGTCAAACTGTACATAGACGACAAAGTTGCGTGCTTCACGCGTCTATTTTAATGCTAAATGTAGAGTGAACTTTGAAACTTATAATAAAGCACTCTATGTTTCAATGTCAGGAAAAATGTAGAAACGGAGTTCGAGTTCTTTCCCTTTGTCTTTAAAAATCTAGTAGGTTAAAATCGAGATAGGTTTATGTAAAACAAGAAAAAAAAATCCGATGAATTTACTTTAAATTTATGCATCAACATAGCTTCGTAAGTACCGAAATAAAACATACATACTAGTTACAATAGTTAATTAAGTTAGCTGAAATCTACATATAAAGTGTTACCCGATTACTTCGGCCATTTTTGTTTTACTACAGGGTGACCACCAGTAATGGTTGAAGGAAGATTGAACAACGGTTGCCATTATGCTGGTTCTGTATGTCGAGCCGTGACAAGAGTTACCATGCCCATCATGCATCAGTCCGAATCTGAAATAAATTTTATGCCTTTATTCATTTTCTTAATTCATTTTCCTAGCCAGTGCAGAATAAAGTTTCTATAATGCACGGACTAACGTTTGGTACAAAACGAACATTTTACATAAAATTATAATAACATTTTCACGAGATATATTATAGAAAAACCGTAACATAAATTCATTAAGTATATTTTATTTTGTTTTATGGATGATATATGATGTATCAAACATATTGCATTTTTATGATTTAATCATAAAATACACGTAAAGAAAACTTGTGATATATGAAACAAATGAGAATGAAGGGTATCGGTGAAAGGTATACGTCTAAAACACTATTATTATGATGTCGTTTTTCTTGATTGTTGTCATGGTATCGTCATGTAAAAACTTTCTTTTCAGATAATTCCATGCAACACATATGGCATATATAACACTTTTATTGTAACTAACAATGGAAGGAGCTCGTTAACGTAACGCGTCACTCTGGAGGTCTAATAAAGTAACACTGGGTTAACTTTATGACAAATGAAGTAAAATGCTATTTTAATATTTATGATTATTTGTATCATTATCACATTATATTTCTATTTAACACAATTGTGTTATTTTAATATTTTTGATATGACAGACGCTGTAATTGTTAAACTCTGAATACAAGTATGATACATTATACTATAGGAAATGATATAGATTTAATCAATCGAACATTATCTGTACATTCAGTGTGGCACTTAATCAATCATGACTACTGTCAACTCAAGTGTTACCATAGTAATACACATGTATACAGAAAATAGACTATAACGAGTGTTCGAATTATGATATAAGTAAATCACTATTACAAATCAATGAATCATACAGAACTTACATGTGAGCCATTTCATGTGCAATAACAAACGCACTTGTAAAACCGTCATCACGAACTAATGCACAGTTCCTCATAGGCAAACATAATCCTGTGATAGGGGCATATCCTGAAATGAAATCTCGCTTATCAAATTGAGTTTTTTATCATATAGACACAATGTGCTAAATAGCTGAATTTAGAGAACGAAAAACAACTGAATGTGATACAACAAAGATTGAAATGTACAGGGTTTAAAATAATATAAATCATTATGGAAATACATCCAAGTGGTAACGATGTAACGACGTTTTATTTTATTTGATAATAAAGAATAAATTATATAAATAATATAAAAATTAGAAACTAAACATTGAAGTTTGTTGCAGATTGATATAGCATTACCAGCAGTGGCAAATTTATGTCGAGTAAGAAGAACAGCTACATCATGGTTGGCTCCAGGCCCTGAGCGGGCACTTCTGTACGTCTGGGAACTAACCCACTGACAAAACCTATCAACTGTACTCTGAGGATTATTCTCACTTACTACCGATCTCTCCTAAAATTATAATATAATGATATGTTATCCTAGAAAAATATGTTCATTTAACAGGATGTAAATGCAATGAAATTCTTAATATTATTGATTTTCATGCTTAACATACCTGGACTAGCGTGCGTTACTTTGATCTGTTAGACAGTCACATATGATAAAGATACACCCCTGTCACGCTCTTAACTTAAATGTGTGACAAAGATACATCTCTGTCACACTATTTACTTAAATGCGTGACAAAGATACACCGTTGTCACACTCTTCACTTAAATGCGTAACAAAGATACACCTCTGTCACACTCTATTAAGTGCGTAACAAAGATACACCTTTGTCACGCTCTGTTTAAATGTGTGACAAAGATACACCTCTAACGTTCTTAACTTAAATGCGTGACAAAGATGCAGCAATGTAACACTCTTTTCCTAATTATGTGACAAATCCTGACTGACTACTATAACATGAAAGGCAATCCTCTTACAGTGTGGTATAATAACATTAACACGAGAAAGAAGTATTTCTCCATAGATTAATCCATTGATTTTTTGTCTTTGTCTGTCGTCGGAAGCTGAACTCAAAGTTCATCGTGAACAAGCATGTTCATTGACTTACACAGTAATCCAATACCTAAGACAGTGTCTTGGTTTATTTCTATGACAATAGGATAACTGAAGGAAACTAACCAAGAACTTTACACTGCCGTTATTATTTGTTATAATTTAAATTTTTCACATCAATAATGCAGCTGTGAAAGTAACCACATTCAATTATTTATGAAATTCTTTCTTTAACTTTGATTTCAGGAACGGCAGTGTGTTTGTTATAGAATTGTGAAAGGCACCCTTTAAGTGTGACAAAATAAAAACAAAAAGATATATAAATTAACTTGACGATCTTTATTAAAGCTTATTTGTCAAAACCTATCTCATCGCCATAAAAAAATTCAATGCTTAAATATATATAATGATAAATTTAATAATTCTGAACATCTACAAATGTGTTCGTATGATGATGATAATAAAATTGTAAAACGGAGTAAAAAGGAAGCCCAAAACGGCAAAATTTCCAAATTTTACAGGGCCTGTGCCTGAACGGTACCGGATAGTGCAAGCTACTTCCCAAGCCTCCCTAGCACCGGCTTAAGCAAAATTCCACATTTAACATGAAATGGTAAAATCTTGATTTACTGAAAATCACAGATATGTCCATACGATCATGGAATCTTCAATGTGACACTTAAATGTTATTCCATTAAAAGCGGCGGATGTTCCGCAGTTAATATACGCTTGTGTCCCAAAAGACAAAACAAAGGGCGAAACTAATCAAACTTGAATTTTGCAACAAGGTCAGAGGTTATGAAGCCTGCATATCACACATAAGCTGTCAAAAATGAAAGGGAGTAAAAAGAAAGAAAAATACGCGCGTCGTTAATATAAAGTTATTACTACGAAGTAGATATCACTTACTGAGTCTTTGTCCATGTACATTATTTTGACAGTGACCACTTCAATATTTGTCCCCAGACTATCGTCATGATATATTGTATTCACCTGAAACATAAAACCAGTAGCATTGTCCACTGCAACCGACTTACAATTTATAATAATCAACAACTGACGACATCATTAGTCAAAATATTTTGACAAATATTTTGACGTGCTAAAGATAGATTCTGAGATGTTTGTTCTCGGTCAGGATCTCGCTTCTATTGAGATATTGCCCGTACATGAAATAGCACAATATCTCAACTTTGAGTACAATAAGTTGGACTAAGTACTATCAATTGGCATAACCCTAATGTAATCATATTAAGTCATTAAATTTTATTAAACTGGAACGTAAACATTTTCGTTTGAATAATAAAAACAACACATTGCAATTATTTATATACCTAACAGTTTTTTTCTTCTGAATATGATTTGTTTTATTTAAATATTTAACCTACTATATTCATCAAGGTTAGTAAGTAGGATTTGATCCTGTCTTTGCCAATGAAGTCCACGACTGATGTATCAGCAGCAATGAGTACCTCTAAATACTTCGTATAGCTTCCCGGAGCTCTTCGAGTTCTGTAAATTAGTGTATTATATCTCTGTTATTATACTCTATGATCTTGTATTTGATGAAATTCTGAATGTGATAGTGTACTTTATGATAATATTTTGACGTTGATATTGTACACTATGATATTTTGACAATGAAAATGTTTTCAATGATATTTTGACAGTGGTATTGTATTCTGTAATATTTTCGTTTTGATATTGTATTCTATGATATTTTGATTGTGATATCACATTCTATGATATTTTGATTGCGATATTGTATTCTATGATATTTTCGCTTTGATACTGTATTCTATGATATTTTGGCTTTGATATTGTATTCTATGATATTATGATTGTAATATTGCATTCTATGATATTTTGGCTTCAAATGATATTGTATTCAATGATATTTTGGCTTTGTTATTGTATTCTATGATATTTTGATTGCGATATTGTATTTTATTATATTTTGACTTTGATATTGTATCTTTGATATTTTGATTGCGATATTGTATTCTATGATATTTTGATTGTGATATTGTACTCTATGATAATTTGACTGTGATATTGTATTCTATGATATTTTGATTGCGATATTGTATTTTATTATATTTTGGCTTTGATATTGTATTCTTGGATATTTTGATTGCGATATTGTATTCTATGATATTTTGATTGTGATATTGTACTCTATGATAATTTGACTGTGATATTGTATTCTATGATATTTTGATTGCGATATTGTATTTTATTATATTTTGGCTTTGATATTGTATTCTTGGATATTTTGATTGCGATATTGTATTCTATGATATTTTGATTGCGATATTGTATTCTATGATATTTTGGCTTTGATATTGTATTCTATGATATTTTGACAGTTATATTGTATTCTGTGATATTTTGATAGTGATATTGAATTATATGATAATTTGGCTTTGATATTGTTTTAAATAATATGTTGACTCACAAAAATGATAAAATGTTTAACTGTTGAGCAAGTCAGCACAAGAAAGAAAATGTTATTATGTATTTTGAAAAGTGAATAATAAGTCTGAAAGTTTTATAACATACAATGCCTCAAGCAACATGTGAAGTACCACCTCATCAATCAAGTTAAAGTTCCACTAACATATCAAAAGAAAAAAAGGAAAAAAAGTTATTTTCTTATACACTAAGGCACTCATTATAGATATTATAAAGATGGAACTCCCATATTTTCATGTTTTATGGAGAAATTTTATGATAAACACAGTAAATGTGGTCTTAATTATCTCTATGGAACTTAAATCAACATTTTTACACACTAACCACAGAACCACGAACTTCAGCACTGACAATTATAAATAATATTTAGGGGATTATTTGTGAAATATGAGTGAAATATGAATTTTTGTGCTTTTAAATCATTTTATCAGCTCATGCACTTTCTTGAACGTTCACACTGTCGGTATAATTGTGTTATCGTGACAGCTTCATTTTAATAAAACAAACACGTATAGAGAAACTGTAAGTTTCCAAATTTTGCCAATCTTCACTTATCGTATTAATGAAGAATTTAAGATCGAACGATGTTGCAATGAAATAAGAGAAATCCAATTTAAGAATAATCGAACCAATTAGCAGACATAGTATCTGTTGCTGAGAGAAAGTGAATAATTTAACATCTATTATGCTAAATTTTCTGTTCTTGAATCGGCGTCTGTTCAGTACTTACATTGTACTTAATATGTTACCGACTGCAAACTGCATGAAAGTTGTTGTATTTGATCTTTCTCAAACAAAATAAGATACCTATGTGAAAGCTGACCTAAATCCATGGGAGGGGCCTGAATGAGTCCACAGCTAGCTAGATTATGAGGACCAAACGTTGTATTGGTAAGTATCCCTGTTCCATGTGGCTCGATGAAGATACCCTCTCTTCCATTTTGTATCATCCCCGACTGAAATATGTGACAGGGCAGTAATAAATACATGTACTGTATTTTCTATACTGTATCTGTTTTGTTAATTAAACCAACTTGTTTTTTAAAAACCCGAAGTTACAACAAATATACATAGATACGATTATTTACCATAGACAGTTGAAGGGTTGTCATACATGATAATGCCATTATACCCAAACGTAGGACATTTGTTGTAAATTTTAGAAATGACAAACATTAAATACAAAGATCTTGAGCTACAATCATTTTTCTCGGATAATAAAAACCATTGTAATTATATTAAACATTAAACAGAAGTTAGCTTATTGGCGTAGTAAAAGTTAAGCAATTTCATTAGATAAAGTAAGACTCTCAAACAAAACAACGAACGGTTATTTGAATTCTTGCTGAAACTTACGATTTTATTCCCGTCGATCTGAAGAGCTACATAACTATGGTCTCTACCAACTACATTGCCTCGATAGTATAATGTATCATCTCTAAGCGTTTCTATTTCCGTTAAATTGGTCCCTTCATGCCATTCTGCCACTGTTCCTTCCGGTGAAATGTTATGCGGGGTGAGTCTCAGACGCAGAATTTCCGAACGCCATTTCAAACTTACAAGTAAATCTCTTTCGGATGAAGTCAAAAATTGTCTTGGGATTTTTCTAATAAGTAGAGGCACTGTAACTTCCTGACGAATGTTATCACAAGGTAAACTGGCTTTGTAAATTAGAATAAAAATATGACATAAAAATATTATTAAGAATAGTGCATTATTTAAGAAAAAATCACGAGAACATAATTTTAGATAATAAGAAACATACTATTGAATATCTTTTTATTCAGGTTTGATTTCGTATGAAAATATAATATACATTTTTTTTCCGTTTATTTCAAGCTGAATCAAGTTATAATCATGTTTTAAATCCCCATTTGTTTTCATTACCCTATTTAAGATTGACCTTAATGCATTAGTGTACGTAGACCAGTTTTCTCAGACATTTTATCTTATCGCTATAAGATTATGCCTCGTTACATTCAGATAACTTACCATGAACAGACCAGGCAGCGCTCTGTAAAATAAAATATTTACTGTTTTTATATTATTATTTGCAAACTCAGCAGAACTTATCCATACAGTTTTGCATTATATTCCTATAGTTTTTATAATAGTTTAGAGAATACATAGCGTCTGCATGGTCAAAGTATTTCTATATATTTGTCTTTTAAAATCACAATAAGAGACAGATACTATGTAAATATCAATGTGTCCCTACAAAACAAAAATATTCTCTTTACGATTCTTCTTATTTTATATTACATATAATGTTGTTCGTGAATATGATTTGTTCTTATGTTAAAATAACGCCCACAAAAATGTATTTAAACATGCTCCCAATCCATTAACTATTGTACTTTAAAGGTATTTGATTGAAAGTTTGTTTGTGTAATTTTAAATTAATATTTCACGACTATATTGACAATTTATTTCTAATATGAATATAAACATAAGAAACTTAACTACTTACCAGTACGTAGAACGAGAAAACAAATAAAACATTTATCCAATTATTACACATGGTCAATATTTAATTAGATAGATTCAGTTCTAATAAAGTTAATTTTGTAAAAGACGTGGCATTTCAGCAACAGTTACAGTGGAGCACTAACAAGTGTTCGTTCTTTGTTAAACTTGCTGCTTCTGTCTAGGTGCATATTTCCATCTTTACATTGTAACGTTTAGCTGTAGAATTATCTATCTGTTTAATCAATTCACAGTCTGCTAGCCATGCGATCAGTGCAGACCTGATCAGCCGGCATGCCGGGTTCCTAAAAATAATGACTATTTGTCCAGTTTCAAAGAAAGGAGAATTCATTGGTTAAGTGCCAAATGACCACAATTCTATGCTCAAACTTTGTTTCGTGAATGAGCTAATATATTGTGAACATAAAAGAACATTAGCATGTCATAAGTTGTATTTGCATGATGTGAATGCTTGTACTCAGGCCTCTTACTTATCATAATTATTTTAATATTATTAATTCAGGGTACAAATGTACTTCTATTACATGTGTTTTTGTTTCAATCATGCGTTGATTGTTTAAGTCTTAATTAGTCTGAAATAAGTGTGAATGTTCTGTTCTGCTGATATATTTATATATAAAGTATACTGCATTTTATAAACATGTAGTAGCAACGTGAGAGTTATTTATATGTTCAGTCCCATTTCAGCATAAGTAGAAGGTATAAATGAGGTTAATGAGGGACAGTAGTGAATAACCTCCCCTGAGTACTCCCTATAAATAGATAGGTCCTAAGCTATTGGATTACTCGGACTTTATCGCCTATTTCTTTGTAGCAAACTGAATTAATTAGGGCTAATTATGATCATTTGTAATATTCAGATTTGATATTGCCATAAGATGAAGAATCTGTTGACATAAATTAATCATTTTTCCTTAAGGTTTACATATTTGTTGATGCATGTGTAAATAATTGATTAATTTTAAGACATATCAACCTGTCTTATATAAAACTCAACGATAAAAGCAAAGGATTCCAAATATTTGGACCTACTTACATTTTGGTTAACCTCGGTTTTTATCAAGGGAAGATAATCCACTACTGTCCCCCATTCTGCTTCGATCTAAGCTCTCTAATGTTTTTTTCTGTTGATTTTTCTGGGGATTATAACAAAAAAATTTACGCCGATGTTTTTAGTCACAATATATATTATAAGGGACGCATTAAAAGTTAACCAGCTCTTCACATTATTGTCTGAAGTTGAGCCACGTGGAATGATAATAACAGAACACTTAAGCAGTTGTTCGGTAGCTAGGGCTCTGCGTGCATACAGCGACCAAATTATTTGGAATTTGGAATCACCTTTCATGCCGCTCCAGGGGTACTCTTAATTCCTGTTTAATCTTTTAACATGTTTATGACCAAGCTTAACATAACAAGAGTAATTAACGAACTATTTTCATGTGCTGAATGATTAGGTTCATCAACAACTTAACTATTAACCCAGAAAACCAACGTATATTCATATCTTGAAGGAAAGGAAAACATAGCATAACTATACATTCTTAGTTCACAAACCTTCATTTAACGTTCGTCTCGTAGATTTGGACTAAGAAATCATTTGTTAACCGGTGCCAGAGTTCTTCATTTTCATGTAAAAACTCACGTTTGTTAACAATATAAAATGATGTAGCACTAACTGACGCAAAAAAAGCACTAGCAGAATCTCTTTGATATAATCTTTTAAATTATCCAAATTTATATGCAACTTTCTTCATTATATAAACGTACTAGATGAGACTCACTTCTGCATCTCTCTCTTTGCAGCAAGATAATAAGTAATTTATGTATTAATGAGTGCCTGTCTCATTATAAAAGTACGCAAGATTAATGACAAGATCCCTGCATAATAATAAATTTAGTAAAATGTTGTTATCAATGGTCTGAAGACATTTTTACTGGCTGTAGGTTTTGATATAAAAAGATATTTCATCTGCAACAATAATCCTTTACAAATTAAAATCAAAACACATTTATTTGACAATAATATGTTTTATATACATGTAGTTCTCTTCATTTTTTCGCAAACTTCTCGTTCACCCGCATATATTAAATGGGAGAGAATTGAACTAGTAATCCAGGGAGCGGTGCATGGTTACTCGAGACGAATTGTTCTAACTGATCTCGGGTAATCAATCTATTTTTTATTTGTATCTCACCATTGATTCAGAAAACATGTAAAAATAGTCGGTTAGTTGAAGACAAATTAGTAGTAAGTGGTTAGTTATACGGATAAATCGACCGTCGAGATATACATGTACCTGAATAATATGTTAAAATTGGCGTAAAAATAGAAAAATCACAAACAAACAGATAAACAAACATTGTACATTTCTTGTCAACTTATATGCGATTACTGTAGATTATCATTTTATTATTTTGTAGCAAAAAGCAATAAGAGGTTGACAGAAAGAGGACGACTCAAGCAATGCCTGTTCTATCTTTTTGGTTTTCAGTACACGCACACCTGGAACAAAACGTAAATGTTTCACAATTTCTCGCATTATTTGTCAACAGTATTGTATAGATATAGAAATTAACTGAATCATATTACGATAAATATTTGCCTGCCATGTACATTATAAATCTTTCTTTATTGAAAAAGATATAGAGGAAACACTTTATATTCGTAAAAAAAATCTTTCGAGACACTTTTCTATTTTAATTGCATGATCAGGTCATATACTACATGTAGTAGTGTAAATAATCTCATGTGTATATACATTATTAATTCCTGTCTTTTGAGTGATTACAAAAAGTATAATGTATCTTACAGTGAACTACTTTTTCTCCATCGTGTTCCAAAGTAATATTACACAGCCATATTTTTTCAGTCTAATTGTCTCTTTCTGTATTTACGTGAGATCATGTTCATGTTTAATTAAAATGCTGTTACTAAATTGTATTGGTATATACTGTAACATGAGACAAGTGAAAACACCTTTTTGTGTTTGTTCACATTAGAAATATCTCCATTTGATTGCCATCGCTTTATGTGTAAAAATCAGAGAATTTTTTTTGTCGTTCAAGAAATGAAACAATGTTTTGGATACAAGGTATGCACGTTTACCTTAGTTTCTGAGAAACAAATACATGTATATCAAAACAACATTGCCTGGTATTATCGTTAATATGCGTAATTTACTGAAAATAAGTGAATTAATAAGCAACATTTACTGCATCAACATCTGCTAAATTGAACAAAAATAAAATGAAATATCGTTTAAGACAGAATTCAAGTTTTCTTAATTTCCAAAACTGTTTCACTAATGAGCTTCTTTTTGTTCTTCGAAATGCAACAAATTAAAAGTAAACTTTATAGTACTAATGCAAAATTGTACACTTAAAAAAATTCTCGGTACGCAACTTATTTTGTTACAAACACTTGCAAATCATCTTGTAAATGGGCTGATTAAAGATTTGCGAGACAAGAGTTTTTACCTACATTGTTCTGAATAGGAATAAATTATATGCATTCCATGTTCCTGATATATGAGTATAATAATCACGTAGACGTTTAAATTCTATGATGATATGATCAAAGTATTTATCAGGTATGGAATTAGCAAGCACGTATTGAAGACAAATGTTGGTATTTGATGAATTCTGAACAAAGGGACCACTCCGATGCAAGTTAAACATGTAATTGAACAATAACCGCTGTTTTTCCCCATCTATTTTCAGTTTGACTTCCTGTAAAATTTACAGGGAAGAACTGAATATAAAACGAGTTTTCATTGGTCATTTTAAAATTACAAACTGAAATCTGGGAATCTCATTGGCCATTCTAAAATAAAATGTTAAAGGTATTTCTTTAACTTTCTAGTTAAATTGCTCAGATATAAATTTAAGTTATGTTTAACAATACTTCTTGCATTCAGATCATTACATTTTCTAGTGAATAGTTTATTTTACGTAAGAACTAACTCAGTTTATTTTACACAAGTTCTGAGTTTTAAATGTTGTCCAAAATAACGAAAATAATATCAGAACTTATCAGGTACCCTTAGTTTATGATCCTCAATAAGTGCCTAATATATAACATGATTGCTGATGTGTTCAATTGATTATAGTTTTTATGTATTTTTGCATATTAATCAAGTATTTATAAAGATAATTGCTTTACCGACTGTGTACATGTTGGTGTTAGAAATTGAGCTCACCTAACGAAACACTACAGGTTTGTTTAGAAACACATACTATTACATCTTAAAGTGTTCCATTTTTCAAAGATTAGTAACCCTACAAGAAATTATTATGTCATTGTTATACAAGCTATGCTAACATTTCTATATGACTTTTTTCATGGAAAACTAAGTACCAACATATGCAAGTTAACCAGTTTTACTTCGACCAAGTATCTTTTTTTAAAAGAAAAAAGATACTTTTTGTTCGTTTTGATTGAGTTTATTCCTGTCAGTAAACAAAATCTGCAACATTTACATACTCCCTGGCACCGGCTGTAGATGTATTTTATATCGATTAGAGATTTCAATGGACTTGTCAAACCACAGACACGCCAACACCTAAATAACAATGCCTTGTTTAATAATATCGGTGCCTATTACATTATAGGTTATTAAGCATTGTGCTATACAATATGGGAATATAATAAGGCGAATATGTAGCTGGAAAGAACATACTTATGTCGACTCGTTCAATATACTAAAGACTGCTAAAGCTTTGTATGAGTTCACATATATCGCATTTTTGTAGAGAATCTATTTATCCCATATGGGAGAGGAAACGCAAACGGTTAATTAATATTTCACAAGACGCTTTCAATGTTTTATGGTTCTTCGTTAACATTTTTTAAATAAACTTTTTCCTGCACTATGTCACACCATGTGATCAACTCATCTGTTATCATAAGAGAAGAAGCCAACTCAAGTCTAAAATGTTTGTAGCATAATTATAGTGCGGTTGAGCTATTTTAAAAATGAATTTGCTGCGAGCATCCGCAATTACTTTAAACGAACAAATCGAATTCCTTTATTATAAAAGACAACTTCGTATAGACCACAGTTATTTGCCTGGAATCCAATCATTACTTTGGCATATTTATAATAAAACGTAAGCGGTTTATCGCAATTAAAGGAC